AGAGAGAGAGAGAGAGAGAGAGAGAGAGAGAGAGAGAGAGAGAGAGAGAGAGAGAAGGTGGGGGGAGTTTATCTGGGAATCAGAAGCTGTTGAATTTAGTGTCTGCTCTCAGGTTGTGGGTTATTGATAGCAGACAGTACTGATTTCATTATTCTGCTCACTTAACTTTAAAAGTAAATGGAGGTATGACTGGGATGGGGTCAGTTTGGAATTAAGGATTTAGATGTCCTCTTATGTCAAATTTTATTGAGTCATTTCAATTTATACTTAGTCATTGCATATTTATTGTAAAGCAACTATTAGTTATCCTGTGGAACGTTATGATATGCTAAATGAAAATAGTTGAAGGATAAATCAGTAGGGGCTAGAGAAATGGCACAGTGGTTAAGATCTAATTTAACATTTTACAGGAATTATAAAATTAATACACTTAGCAGATTCATAATGTTTTCTGAAAAAAAATCCACATTTTTCTGTATCCAAGAATTAACTGGGATCTAAAATATTGGCTGGGTGAAATTGCCCATGTATTACATATGTATAGACTTCTTACCATTATTCCCTAAGTCAGTACAGTATAATTACTTTTTAAATAAGCATTTATATTGTGTTAGGAGTTTTAAGAAATCTAGAGATAATTTAAAGTATATGAGAGGATGGATAGTTTATATGTAAATACTGCACCATTTTATATAAGAGGTTGAAACATCTGTAGGTTTTGGTATTCTTGAATGGTTTAGGGATGGATGGTATGCTGGAACCAGTCTCTTGATAGTAGTAAAACGTTCTAACTTTTCTCTTACATGATACTGAACACATTTTGTAATGCAGAGTATAACTCCCCGCCCCCCTTATAGTTTTTTTTTTTTTTAAATGGAATGACTTTAATACTTTTTTAAATATAGGGGTATTTTGAAATAGGTGCTGTCCTTTACTGGTAGTATCCAATAATGCACAAATGGTATTAACTGTGATTCTAGGAACACTAAAAACAGTGTTGCCCCATCAGAGAAAATTAATACTTCAATAGCTCTATCAGGATAAATCCCAATAATAGTATACATTATACACAACTTATCTGTAATATTAAAAATGTATAGGATGTGATTAGGGGAAAACTGCCTAAAAAACTTGAAGGAAGGGATCATAGTGCTAATGAAAAAGATTAAAACATTGCTTTAAGAAAGTGAATGGGACGTTGGTCATCTTCTTATTCATCATACTTTTGAAGTGTGTTCTCTGACTGGGCAACAGTTTTGTGTATCTGGTAGGAAGAAAACAGTCCTATCATGCAAAATCTTGAGAAAAGGTCCACCCCCCCCTTTTTTTTCCTGTTTCTTTCTTTATTTTTTTTTCTTTTTCTAAGCAAGGGCTTGCCTGTGTCCCAGGCTGGCCTCATTTATGGCACTCTTCTGCCCTAGCCTCCCAACTACTAGGATTACCAAAGCTGAGTATACAACCGTTTTCTGGATTTTGATACCTCTCATGTAATTAGGATGATTGTAGTGATTTAGAGTAGTGGGAATTGAAAAGAGATGACTTTGTTATTACTCTTTTCACAAACCCTAAGAGTTGTTCTTTTGTTTGTTCTTGTTTTGTTTTTTGAGACAGCCTCACTATGTCCTGGAAACCATTATGTAGACCAGACTAGCCCGAACTCACAGAGCATCTACCTGCCTCTGCCTTCAAATGCTGGGATAAAGACATGACACTGTTCCCTGCCTAAGAGCCGTTCTTGTTAGAAGTTAGATATGCAGCTTTATTGCCGATTAGGTCCTAGAAACATGGGTAAGAAACGTAGGTGGCTTTAATCTGGAGTGCTTAGGATATGTTGAAATTTTACATTTTTGAATACTATTGAGGTGTATTTGAACAAGACCTTCACATAGCAGAACTTGATGTTGACTTTCTTTGACAGAGTAGAAAAGTTTTCGTTTGTCTAGTAGGGTTTCAGAGTTCATTTTTATATATGACCTGTGATAGGCATTTTGCATAATTTCATTTTCACTTGAAGTAGAAACAGTTGAATGTGTTCTGGATTTTCTTTAAAATGTGAAGCTAAAATAATGAAGCTAAAAAAGGAAGATTATAGATACTATTAAGAGTATTCCTTGAATTGCTTTCTTAGCAATGGCATGTATTCAGATTCGTTAATGTTTCTTTCACCAAGTCCAATGTATACCCTCGGGGTTAAGAATACAGGCTGTGGCCATGGAACACTGTGAAGCTAACTAGTCCACATGGAGATCAAACCCCAGGACCATGGTCTCAATTAGCATCCCTTCAGGTTGGATTGGAATCAGTCCAACTACCAGACAAAATGGCTGATCTTAAATATTGGTGGAATAATATAAATATGGAAAATACAGTTAGTGTCACCATAGGAAGTCATGGACATAAAAAAAACAGTATGTGGTTGTAATGTACCAGGTTAGCGTAGCTTTAGTTACTGCCTGTAAATGATTATCTTCTTAAGTAAGCCTTTTCATACATTTAAAACGAATGACAAATTATATCTTAATCTTTTCCTGCAAGTGAAAGTAGAAACTTCAATACTTTTAGTCTTGTATTCAATAACCTTGCATTCTTTTTTACTCCCCCCCCTCCCCCCCGACTGTATTTGTGATTAATCTCCGTTGAGGATGGAAACACAACTCCCTTTGAGTAATTGTAATAATTTTACTTGGTGCACAGAACTGGATTGCAAGAGAGTTTAAAGTGCCCACTACCCTTTGTGGGAAGCTTTTTCATATTTTAAGTGTATGATGCCACTGTTGCAGCCACATCACTAGACGTTTCAGCCTCCTTGATACTTCGTAACCAAGCTTACCTCCTTTCTTGTAATTCTCACTGCCGGTGCAGCTTGCTCATGCTTCTTAGCTTGATAAAAACTCATCACTTAGATATTGTTTTGACATTGTTCATTAAAATCAATGGCATTATGGCTGTGGTCTTGGTTCCTGCCTTCTGCTGAAAGTGGCGTTTTGTTCTTTGATTTGCCTTGGTATTTAAGTCCATTATTAAATAAGTCTTACAGACATCCTGCTTTGTAATAAGTAAAGTTGGTATGTAATATCTTGATAAATTTTTAAAAACTTACACAATTCATTATTGATGCAGAGTACCTGAAAAAAAGAATGGAAATTTGAGGTCTCTTTGGCTGTGTCTATGTTTCCCTTCTAGGTCCCCCCCCCCCCCCCTTTCTCTTTAAAAACAAGTCTTATTCTGGCTTTTTGGTGAATAATGGAACAATAGCCAGGCTTGGTGCCTTTAGTATCTTACTGATCTATTTACCATTGTATAACAATGGTTTCTTTCTTGGTCATTATCATATTGTAGTCCCTAAAACAAACTCTTGTATGCCATTTATGACAACTCTTAGTAAATTGTACACATGGGAGAACTTGAGGTATGCCTAGTTATATCTGAAATCTTAAGTTGTTTTGTATTGTTTTTAATTTATCTCAAATTTACCTCAGAATGGTAAAATAGTTCACACTGATTGATATACTTACTTAGTCTTAAAAAAGTGATATTTACAAATTGAATTCCCACCCCCTTTTTTTTCTCAAAATCCATTTCTCCTCTTCCTGGTTTATCACTTAGGCATGTAAGTGACATCCTAGCATTGCTTTAGTTCTCTGTGACAGTGGCACACTCTGACTAAATCCCCTGTGGATTACTTTCCACGTGCTAATGCACTTGGCTAGATTTCAAGTCATTTAAGCTGTAGCGCTTTGTCTAGTGAGAATAATAGTTATTGCAAGATATTACTTAAAATAGTTTTATTTATATTTTTTTGTTTCACTAAGTTAGACTTTTTGAAACCTGTGTATGCCCATTCCCCCATTACCACCCATTTCTGTGGCTTAGTTTATAAAACAGTAGCTTTCTCAGAGTAGGTAAATAAGATCTTATTACCAAAGAAAATAGGGTTTTTTGCCTGTGCTCACATACTGAAGACTTATAATACCTCTGGTTTTTGTTTGTGACAGTCTTATGACAATATTCTTTTGAAACATCTGTTTGCATTTATGTGTTGTTACTTCTAAGAATACTTTACTTTCGAGAAAGATATCAAAGTCACCATTAAAGAACACAATCTGTTAAATAAAATGAGAAGAGACTAAGATCTTTGGGCCTTTTCCTGTCTTGCACCAGATTTTTAAAATAAGTTGAATGAATTTGTATTCATTTTTAGTATTTTGACTGTCATAATCTAGAAGTTTATTTCTGTGTCTTAGGAAGCGGAATATGGTGGGCATGATCAGATAGATTTGTACGATGATGTCATCTCTCCATCTGCAAATAATGGCGATGCCCCAGAAGACCGGGACTACATGGATACCCTTCCACCAACTGTTGGTGATGATGTGGGAAAAGGCGCAGCGCCAAATGTTGTCTATACTTACACTGGAAAGAGAATTGCATTGTATATTGGAAATCTAACATGGGTAAGTAAGTTAACAGATTATTGGCGCTTCATTTTGAACTTCCCTAGTAGTCCATGTTTTTTTGCCCAGTTTAAAAAAAAAAAAATGATGTCCCTATATTTGTTTTTCTCTTGTTAACCTATATGATGAGAAGGGCAAAACCAAGTTCTTTTAAAAAGACATTCCAATTATTCTAATTTTGAATTTTATAGTTTGGCTTAAGTATATACTTAAATAGAATTTGCGTTTTTTCTTTACTTTTTTGCATTCCTACCAGTTTCACTAAGAAAAATGTTTATATGTGGGTCTCAAGAATTCAAAAGAGAAAGATAAAATACCATTACAGTTTTAAAAAACTCTTCATTTTCTAATTCATATTACAGACTTAAGTTTCATTTCTGTTCTTGAATTTGAAATTAATGCATAGCAGTTGTTATATGCTTTATAATATTTGTGTTTGTCTGGTGTTTTTCGGGATGGATCTTGTTATGTAACTTTGGCAGGCCTGATAGTCACTGTAATGCAGACTGGCTTTGAACTCCTATCAATCCTTCCTGCCTCTGCCCTTGAGTGCTAAGTTTATAAGCATATGCCACAGTGCCTGGGTATACTTTGTACCTTAATTGTGTTGTTCATAAGACAAAGATTGTTGGTGGAGCGCTTCATGAACTATACGTTTAGTGTATCTATTAATGTTATTAGAATCAAACCTGAAATAATCACTAAAGTGGTCCTATATAAGTCTTATCTCAGCTATTATGTTGGATATTTAAAAGTTAAACAACAAAATTTTGGCACCCTTCTATTCTGTTTATAGCATTTTATTTGAAAATATTTTACTTCACATTGCTTTTGTGTTTTTATGTGTATAGGTATTTGTGTGTATGCATGTCTGTGTATCACAGACATGCAGTCCCTCAGAGGCCAGAAGAGGGCATCAGATTCCCTAGGACTGGAGTTAGAGATGGTTGTGAGCTATCATGTGGGTGCTAGGAGTTGAACCTGTGGTCCTTTGGGCTCTCTCTTCAGCACTCACTTTTTTTTTTCTTTTAAATGACTGAGTCTGCTGTCGTCTAGTCTGAATAGTCTTTACAGTCTTGGAAACAATGGCAGTCACTATAGCATGAGACTGCAGTTGCTAAGTAACAGTTGGCATAGATCTGTGTTTTGTGACTTTGAATAAGCTGTTTAACCCCTCTATTGCATCTTAAGAAAATGAAAGTAATAGGATTTAGGTAAGCGTTAAGTAGTTGATAAAAAGGTACATAGTAGGTATTCATATTAGTTCCTCCATATTATAATGAAACATAAGATGTTTGTTTCACAAGATACTTTCCTTTGAAGGGAGGAAGTTACAAGTGAGATTGATTTTATTGAGAATTTAAGTCAGAGATTTAAAGCTGGAAGTAACTAGGAACTTTTGTTTTATTTTTTTCCCACATAGGGTTTCTTCATGTAGCCCTGGCTGTCCTGGAACTCACACTGTAGTCCAGTCTGACCTCAAACTCCGAGATCCCCCAGCCTCTGCCTCTTTGAGTGCTGGGATTAAAGGTGTGCACCACCACCACACCTGGCTAGAAAGGAGAAACTCTTAAGTGTAATTGTATCTGTCTCCAAAAGGATGTACTTTATAATTTCCAAAACTCCTATCAGGAAATGAAGTTAGGCACTCAAGATGCTTTTCTGCTATTTAAAAATTGAAGGTTGACAGGCATTAATTATACTTAGATTTGCAACAATTTTCTGTTAACATTTGTTTTCCTTTAAAAGTTAAATTCAGACAGTAAAAACCTGAATATATATGTTAATGGCTAACAAGTGGGAAATGTCTTGCAGTGGACAACAGATGAGGACTTAACTGAAGCAGTTCATTCTTTGGGAGTAAATGATATTTTGGAGATAAAATTTTTTGAAAATCGGGCAAATGGACAATCAAAGGGGTAAGAATTTAGTTTTTTTCCTAATATAAACAATGGATAGCGGTTACAATTTACAATTAGTTTTCCTTAAGTTCAATGTTGATTATACCAGTGGAGCTTACATGAACATGTGAGCACTGACAAATGGCTTAGCTACTGAAGATGCCTGCTGCACTAACCTGACAACCTGAGTTAGTTCTAGGAACTCACGTGAGCACACTAGAAGGAGGGTCTTAGGCAGAGGTTCCTTACTGACGATTTATATTTGTTTCTTCATGAAGCTGGTTGCGATGGGACTGTAGACAGACTAGAATGCTCTCTACATTCACTGAGAACACTTTCTCAGGTGGAAATGGCAGTGCTGAGAAGCATTATCTTTGTTGTGATGAAAAGAGGAAGAAGAGCTGAGTATGTAGCTCAGTGGTAGAACCGTTTACATAACCTGGAGGAGCTCTGGGTTTGATCCCAGCACATAACTAAAAATGGTGAAGAAAGACAGTAACTGAGGAGTGAAGTCTAACCTGGATGTCTTGCTTCATTCCCTAGTCAGCATTTCACACACAACAGGGTAGGATGAGTATATAATGCGGGTATCTAAAAGTAAGAAGTGAAGTGCTGCAGTCTCACCATTTACAGATAATCACGTTAGTAAATGTACTTCCACATTTTTACCTAAAAAAGAGTATTATAATTCACACTTTCCTGTTTGATTGAAAAGAGCAGAAGAAATAGTTAGTGATAAATATATCTTACTTTTCTTATTTTTGGATATTACAGTTATTTCTACTTGTGTCTATTATAAATAATATAGTAGGCACATTATTGGATTTTTTTACATTAATTTATTTTATATTTGTATAAGTACAGTACAATACTTTAAAAAAAATTACAAAGTTAAGCAACCATTGCAACTCTCTAGTTTCAGAACATTTTATCACCTCCATTACCAGAAAAACCTTGGGTGCATTAGCATTACCCTGATCACCCTTGTCTTTGCTGACAACCATTCAATGTACTTTCTGCCTCAGAATTTCTGTTCTGGGCATTTCATGTAAACAAAACAACAACAACAACAACAACAACGAGGTCGTGTGTGTGACGTCTTTCACGTAGCACATCCATGTAGCAGCATCGGCATTTATTTTTATGCTTAAGGAATGGTCCGTGTCATGGGGTAGCACTAAAGGAAGACTCCACTGTCCAGGTTTCGGTGGCTTCTACTTCAGTTGTTTAGTTTTGTGCGAACATACAGTTTTGCTCGTTCTGGGCATGTACCTGGGAGTGGAATTAGTTAAGTTTATGGTAAGTCTGTTCAACGTTTTCAGAAGCTATCAGATCGCACAATCCCATCAGTGCAGGAAGGTTGTAGTCTCTCCTTATCTTCACTAGTACTGCATAGTTGTCGTTCTGATTCTAGTGGAAATTACATCTCATTATGGTTTTGATTTATATAGTGATGGCTAATGATAATGAACATCTTTTAAAAATTACTTAATTATTTTATGTGCATGGGTGTTTTGGCTGCATGTATGTCTGTGTACTCTTGTGTGACTAATGCCCATGGAGACCAGAAGAGGGAATTAGATCTCCTGGGACTGGAGTTCCATGATTGTGAGCCACCATGTGGGTCCTGGAAATCGACCAGAGACCTGGAAGAAGAGTCAGTGACTGCTGTTGACCACGGAGCCATCTCTTCCAGCCCCTGCACCGAACATCTTTTTGTGGCAGTAAAAAGTGAAAGCAGCCCAAGTGCCTAGTGACTGATGGGTGGATTTAAAACAAAACCAGAAAACAGTGTCTATAATTGAACATTACTCAGCCACTAAACGAAATGAATTAGTAATGCATGTTATAGCATAACGAGATCTTGGACACTAAGTGAAGCTGGTTGTAAAGGACTACGTATTCCATTCGTTTGAACTTCCAATGAGGCAGATCCATAGAGAACTATCTTTGGTTATGCTTCCCTGTGTTCTTAAGAGATGAGAGTAAATGGGAATGGTGCTAGAGGGTATGGATTCTCTTTTGGTAGTGATGACTGTTATGAATGAACCATCATAGGATGTTTGTAAAACATGACTATACTAAAAAAATCACTGAATTGCACATTTGAATGAACTCTGGTACATTGTAAAAGATAATGTCAGCTTGTGTAGCCTTAAGAGTCTATTTTTCTTTTCATAAGAGTAAGTTAAGACCATTTCTTTTTTAATCAACAGTAACATTCTCAGTTCTTCTTTTTATAACCACCCCCTTACCATCTTTTAGATTTGCCCTTGTTGGTGTTGGATCTGAAGCATCTTCCAAAAAGTTAATGGATCTGTTGCCTAAAAGGGAACTTCACGGTCAGAATCCTGTTGTGACTCCATGCAATAAGCAATTCCTGAGTCAGTTTGAGATGCAGTCCAGGAAAAGTAAGCAACTCTCTCCACAGCCTTTTTTAAAAATGTACTTCAAGCAGTGTGCTGGCGTTTGTTAAATATTACACGTACGATTTAGTTTATTGGATGAACTTGATTTACTCATTTGTTATGAGTATGGGCCAATATACTAGAAATCTACTTCTATTCCATTTGTTTCTAGATGTCACAGACCCAACAGTGTGCAGCAGTTTGAAAGCTTTATAGTGCTGCCATTCTTGTCCTGTTGTTCACATCTTAGAGTTGATGGGAATAGAAAGGCTAATGAGGACTAGGAAATAGTCATTTACCTCTCTATGTGTCTGTCTATGTATCTGTGATCCATCCATCCATTTATCTATCCATCCATCTATCTATCTGTCTTCTCTCTGTCTGTCTATCTATCTATCTATCTATCTATCTATCTATCTATCTATCTATCTATCTATCATCTATCTTTTGCTACTTGGTAAAATAAATGTAAAAGAAATTTATTGTCATTACGTATTTTTATAAAGAGATAAGATGAATGACCCATGTAATTAATCAAAATTCAAGTGGTTGTTTTTAATTATTTTAGTATTTAAGACTTAACTGAAGAATATGTTACATAGCATAAAATGAGTAATCTGCTATTGAAATTAAGATTTCTGTTGAAAAATTTCTGTCTTGGCTGCTGTACAGTACTGGTATTTTAGAAGCAATGTGTTTATTCAGTGGAAGTACATTTAAACTTGAATATTTTAAGACTTTAAGAAAGTATTTCAATAAATATGAATGTTTTCCTAGCCAAGTACTTTGCATAGGCCCAAGGCATTTGAAATTGATAAATAGTATAAATGAACTTTGAAGTAGTTTCTAATAACACGGTTACAATTCAGAGAACTGTTTTAATAAGTGCTATTTATGAGTATTTGGGTATTTGCAGCTACACAATCAGGACAAATGTCTGGGGAAGGTAAAGCTGGTCCTCCAGGAGGCAGTTCACGTGCAGCATTTCCACAAGGTGGTAGAGGACGGGGCCGTTTTCCAGGGGCTGTTCCCGGTGGGGACAGATTTCCTGGGCCAGCAGGACCAGGAGGGCCACCTCCACCTTTCCCAGGTAAAACTTTCCTTAAGTTTATCATGGAGAAAACATGTCTGCCTAATACCTCTTTTCCTTTTCTCTCTTTTTCAAGTAATGCATTATTAATGTGACTTACTCTCCTTGTTATGCTATTTTTGGAACCCAGGAAATTTGATCAAGCATCTTGTTAAAGGAACTCGGCCTTTGTTCCTGGAAACTAGGATTCCATGGCATATGGGGCACAGCATAGAGGAAATACCCATTTTTGGCCTAAAAGGTCTTTATTTTTCTCCAAACTTGCTTGACTTATATATAGAATATTTACATCCGTCTTATTTTCTTACCTCTTAAAAAATCCTTTCAAGACCATTTTCCCTTGTTTCACTTTCTAGCTTGGCATCAGAGTAGAATATGAGGTGGGTGACTTCGCTGTAAGAAGTGTGTATGTGCTGAAAGATGGGAAGCATCTCTAGGTGTTAAAGTCTGTTAAAAGTTTTTGTTTCAGTGCTTTTTCTGAACTGTAATTTGAACTAGTTAAGTGTGAGGATAGTCTGCACTTGTGTAGTTGTTAGTGGAGCACTACCATTTGGGTTTCCTTTAAAGAGAGAGTCATGGTTTCTAAGTTCTGCTGTAGAAGTATAATCTTGGCATGTGATAGTTACAACTTTATTGAAGCGTGTTTCTCCTTTTCTCCTTTATTTTGTAGCTGGACAGACTCCACCACGTCCTCCTTTGGGCCCTCCAGGCCCACCTGGTCCTCCAGGCCCTCCACCTCCTGGTCAGGTCCTGCCGCCACCTCTAGCAGGGCCTCCCAGTCGAGGAGACCGCCCTCCACCACCAGTTCTTTTTCCTGGACAGCCTTTTGGGCAGCCTCCGTTGGGTCCACTTCCTCCTGGGCCTCCACCTCCAGTTCCAGGCTACGGCCCTCCTCCTGGTCCACCGCCTCCACAGCAGGGACCACCTCCACCTCCAGGCCCCTTTCCACCTCGACCACCAGGTCCACTTGGGCCTCCCCTCACTCTTGCTCCTCCTCCACATCTTCCGGGACCACCTCCAGGTGCCCCACCACCAGCTCCACATGTGAATCCTGCTTTTTTTCCTCCACCAACTAATAGTGGCATGCCAACATCAGATAGTCGAGGTCCACCACCAACAGACCCATATGGCCGACCTCCACCATATGATAGGGGTGACTATGGTCCTCCTGGGAGGTAAGTTAAACACCAGTAATGAAACTGTTTAGTCAGCAAAAGATAAAGAATTGTGACTGAAATCTGTTACATTGTAGAAATGTAAGCATAGTTTCTGTCCTGCAGAAAGATTAGATTTCTAAGCTGCAGTATTTCAGCCAAAACACAGTGATAAAGGGGATTTTGCTTAGGCTTGATCTGATAGGGAAAATAGCATTCTCAAGGGAAAATAGCATTCTCGAATCTGGCAAAGTAACCACTCTCTCTGAGGCAAATGCCAAACCTGTTAGTGGAATTGTTTACATTGTTACTAACTTGAGAGCTTTTGTTAAGTAACAATTTAACATTTATTTGTCTTTTGTAGGGAAATGGATACTGCAAGAACACCATTGAGTGAAGCTGAGTTTGAAGAAATCATGAATAGAAATCGGGCCATCTCAAGCAGTGCTATTTCAAGAGCTGTGTCTGATGCCAGTGCTGGTTTGTATATTTGTTTCAGCGTTCATTCCTTAACATAACTATTTCTGTTAAGGATAACCCTGAACCTAGGGCCTGGAGAGATGGCGCAGCCAGTAAGAACTAGCTGCTCTTCCCGAGGACCCTGGTTTGATGCACAGCCATCTGTTAACTCCAGTTCCTGAGGATCTGAGTCCCTTTTCTGGTTTCTGCTGGCATCAGGCATGCTAGTAATGTATAGATAAACACACATGCAGTCAAACACCCATGCCCATAAAATAAAATTAAAACATGAAAACCCAAAGCTTAAGTGCATTTGTGAAGATGGTCCTCTTACTCCCCATGCAATCTGTATATTCCCAAGTCATTATCTGTCATTGAGTTTTCAAGTATTGAAGAAGATCCGTGGCAATGTAGTGGAAAGACCACTGGTTTTAAGTTACTATATTGAGATTTAAATACTAATTGGGGTTGGGGAGATGGCCCTGATTAAGAACACTGGCTGCTAGTACTGGGATCCAGTGTTGTCTTCTTTCTTCCTGGGTACCAAACACACTCAATGGTGCACAGACACACATGCAGGCAAACACATCCCTACACATAAAATTAAAAAGAAAGACTGACTTTGGGGATTGGAGAGATAGCTTAAGAGTGAAGAGCACTGCCTGCTCTTCAGAGGATCAGAATTGATCCCCAGCACCTATGTCGTAGCTCACAACCACCTGTAACTCCAGTTCCAAGGGGTCTGATGCCCTCTTTGGCCTTCATGGGCACCAGTCTTGCTTGTGATGCAAAGACATATGTAGGCAAAACACTTGTGCACATAAAAAGATTATATATTAACTTTGGTATATTAGTGCAGAGTCCTGAAGATAGCTCATTTAATTCTCGTATTTGCAAAATAACTCCTTCTGTATGAAACAACAACCAGTTACATTAGCTTCATGATCATGAGACTCTTGCAAATTTCAAAACACTGACCAAAAGTTATTGCCTATGGTCATCTTAAAAGACACTTTCAAAAAATTGCTTCATCACTCTTATTCTAAAAGGGTTGGTTTGATGATCATTTGGAAACAAAATTTGTTTGCTAGTAACCTTGTCTTTTCCCCTGCAGGTGATTATGGGAGTGCTATTGAAACATTGGTAACAGCAATTTCTTTAATTAAACAATCCAAAGTATCTGCAGATGATCGTTGCAAAGTTCTTATTAGTTCTTTGCAAGATTGCCTTCATGGAATTGAGTCCAAGTCCTATGGCTCTGGATCAAGGTAAAACTTTCCTGTCTCATGTATTTTTAAAATAGTTCACAACAACAAAAAAGTGGAACTTTAAAAAATGGGACTCCAGTTTTACTTACTGTGTACCCAGCAGTCAGAGTGGATTTTTTAATTAACTCTAAATGGCATGTTGTTGCTTCCTGAAATCCTTCAAGGTGTCTACTTAGAATAAAATTATATGCAAGGAACTGTATGGCTTCTGTTTACTCTTAGACTAACTGTACACAAGCACATTGTGTGATGTAATCTCTTTCTTGACTCTTACTCACTTCCTCCCTGGATCACTGTTCTCTAGCCTAAGGGTCTCTTCTCGTGGACACACGAGCCTTGGGACCTCACTGATTTTGTGTTGGTGTTCTTTCCTGAAACCATTTTGTTCTTTTTTCCCTCCCCTATACATGGTCTTTATTTTTCATGTTTCAACTTAATCTAGTCTGTCGTATTCTATTTCTTTTGTAGTATTTACTACAATCATGTATTTTTCATTATTGATGCTCATTTCTTACTGAGCACATGTTGAATGATGACAGGGGCCTAGCTATTAAACATTACTTGATACAGGATGTTTTTTGAAAGAGGGAATAAATGTATGAATGTGTGGTAATCTATTTTGTAATAGATACAGCTTTAGTTTAGGTTTATTTAATTTAATGTGTATGAATGTTTTGCATCTAGCAAAGCGTTCATACACATGTGTGCTAGTGGCTGGGGTAGTCACAGAGAACACCGAGTCCCCTGGAACCAGAGTTAGGATGGCTGGGATGCTTGAGTCACCATGTGGGTGCTGGGAGTCAAACCCTGGTCCTCTTCGAGAGCAGCAGTGCTCTTCCCACTCTGCTAGCTTTTCAGCCCTTGCAATAGATGAATAACATTTTTTAGAGGTTACTTTTTTTTTTTTTTTTTTTTTGGTTTTTCGAGACAGGGTTTCTCTGTGTAGCTTTGCGCCTTTCCTGGAACTCACTTGGTAGCCCAGGCTGGCCTCGAACTCACAGAGATCCGCCTGCCTCTGCCTCCCGAGTGCTGGGATTAAAGGCGTGCGCCACCACCGCCCGGCTAGAGGTTACTTTTAAAGCATTTTTATGAATCTTAAAATTTTATGTGTTTTGGGTGTTTAATCTTTACATGATATTTTCTCTTTTGAGACAGAGTCTCACAATGTAGGCCAGCCTGGCCTTGCATTTACAGAGCTCAGCCTGCCTCTGCATTCTGATTACACTCAGCCACATTTTTTAATATTTTGATTTTGTATGTGGGTGGTTTTTTTGCCTGCATGTGTAGTGCTCACAGAGGCAGGGCCTTGGATTCCCCAGAACTAAAGTTAGAGATAGTTATGCGCCACTATGTGGGTGCTGAGAATTGAACCTGGGTCCTCTGGAAGAGCAGCTGGTGTTTTTAACTCCTGAGAAAGGAATTTATATTGGACACAATCTTACTTTGTTACTACCTTTTGGGCTCCATTTAAGACTCTCCATATCTGAACAAGTTTGTCGTAACTAGAGACATATCATGCATGTCTTCTTTGTGAGGACATTTAGTTTGATCAGGAGCTTGATACTTAATATTTAAGTTTAGTTCCCTGGTTAAGAAATTACATGTAAAAGAATTCTTACATAAACTAATGGAATTATTATGAACTTTGGCTATGATTTGGGTTTTTAAGATACGATGGCAAAGTTAGCATAAATTTCTTTTCTTTTTTCATGGGTTCTCAATGTAAACCTTAGCAACTTGAGCATGACTTTTTCATTTTTACTTTTTTACTTAAAGGAGAAGTGTTCAAATTGCCTGTCAGCATCACTACCCTCACACTTGGGGGCTATTACTAAGTAATCTAAGGATTATTCAGGCATAAGCACTGCATCGCTGTGATATTGAGACAGATACTGAATAAGTGATTAGTGGGTGCACTGGACAGGGATGGTTCACAGTGCAGGCAGGAAGGAGCAAGATGATAAAAGATTTAGTCATGATTGCCACAGTGTAGGTGGCTTGGGTTTTGGAACCCTGACTAGGGGCTGCATGGGAAAGAGAGGACAGACACTTTCAGTAGTGCTAGGATAGGAAGTTTCTGCTGCAGCTGGAACCTGGAACTTCTGTGTGTGTACTGGGTGCAGTTATTGGGAGGGACAGGCTAGTCTAAGTAGGCCTCTGTAGAGTAGTAGTTGCAGTCTAAAAGCACACCAGAAGAAGGTGCTTTGTTAGTCTCTGCACACACTGAAACACTCATAATGGACCCCGAGGGGAGCTTGCCATCCCCATTGAGCCTGACCTGTGTGGGAACCTTCTTTGCCAATGTTACATGGGGTTATTAGGGGTCCTGGAGTCCCCACCTAGCCATGGCCATGTCAACAGTACACATTCATTCAGAATGTCATTCCCTTGGGGCTTCCTCTACAGCTAATCAGAATAGCATAAAAGTGTTTTATTTCTGAAATTTTAATTTAATATTTTCAGACTGGTTGACTTATAACTGAAACCATGGAAAATAAAAAACTAGGGATAAAGGAAAGACAACTATATTGACTGTCTTATGGAGAGCATTAATCCAGTAATTTTTTTTAGAAGACGTGAACGATCAAGAGAAAGGGACCATAGTAGATCACGGGAAAAGAGTCGACGTCATAAATCTCGGAGTAGAGATCGCCATGATGATTATTACAGAGAGAGAAGCAGAGAGCGAGAGAGACACAGGGATCGAGATCGGGACCGGGACCGGGAGCGTGACCGAGAGCGAGAATACCGTCATCGTTAGAAGGTGGGCATTCCTTTTTATTATTGTATTTAGTGTGTGTGTGTGTTATTAACAGTAATTATAACTCCAAGGCTGTTGTTTATGCAGTAAATATACCTACATTTTAAGTGGTCCAAGTACTTGTTCTGATTTAATCTTCTGGAAACATCTGAAAACAGGTAAGCCATCACAGGTAAAAAATTTTGACCTTTTTTCCCTTGAATATTGTATTCTTTTAGATTTCAGATTGTTTGTGGTCTTAAAGCAAGAAAATAATCAAGAGGACTCATTGTGTACTTCTAAAATTTACAAATTGGGATTTTTGTAATCACATTCATTGTTTGCATGTGATTTAAAATATTCATAAACACCCAGGGGTTGTTTCAGATATGAATAGTATGTGCTTGGATTTTTAAAAATGAAGTTTCTATTCTTTCTCCTTTGAACTAACTTGATTTGTCCCTGAAACTTTTTAAGAAAATCTAATACTATAATAGGTTATGTTACAAAAAGATGTTTTCCAGAATTGACAAGAACTTTTTTCCCTTTAAAAAACTACTTTTTAGAAAAAAAAATTCTGGCATTTGATTTATTATTTTTTTTAAGGAGTATTATTATCTTTTTAATTTGCAAAGAAGGTGTACAGTGGGTTCAGGGTATATACCTAAAAACGTTAAGTTGTGCCAATCCATACATCCCAAGTTAGAAATAACTGGAAATAATTTTCTTTGATGTTTCATTCATAAGCCATAATCATTGTCTTTTTTTCTGTATTTTAAAAATTTGTGTACTTTTTTTCATAAAGTAGAATGAGTTATCTGTTTATGCTTCATTTTTCCATGTAATTTTATTTTATATTTGTGAACAGTGTTTACTCATGAAGAGTGGGGAAGGAGCACTGGCAATCTTTTGCATGTGACAGGTTCTTCTATAAACACCTTTGCCCCATATATTGATGGCATATTTCAGTTAATTAGGCTTAAAACAAATCCTCTATACGGAAATACTTCACAGAACCTTATTGAAAATCCAGCCCTAAAAATTGTTAATATTTAAATTGTAATTGGCTTTATTGTGTATGTAATTTAGCAGTTTTAAACATCACACACACACACACACACACACACACAGAGGAAGAAAAGGTGTCTGTCTTTTTTTTTTTTTTTTTTTTTTTTTTTTTGGTTTTTCGAGACCGGTTTCTCTGTAGCTTTGTGCCTTTCCTGGAACTCACTCTGTAGCTCAGGCTGTCCTCGAACTCAAAGAGATCCGCCTGCCTCTGCCTCCCAAGTGCTGGGATTAAAGGCGTGCGCCACCACCGCCCGGCGTCTGTCTAATTTTTGTGGAACATAAGAGTTACCACTCTTGCTGTTTAAAGGCTTTTTAAGTGAGAAGGCCTATTTTAATACTTTGTCTTACATTTTGAATATGCCCTTGAATATTTATTATAACATTTTTATTAGTTCTATGTTGTATTAAAATTTTTAATTCTCAAAACATTTATATACTAGTTTTAAAATTATTAAAATTGGTACTGTTTGAATATAAAAATTAAACGTTGTATCATAAAATCAAAACTAAATTTTAAATGAAGTAAAGATCCCTTAAGATAGATTCTGGCCAGGCTATTACTTGAAATGTCTAATTCTTTGTCATTTGATAAGGTACAGGTTCTATAAACTGTATTTTATATTTATTTATTTATTTATTTATTTATTTATTTATTTATTTATTTATTTTAAACTTTACATTTTACCAACTATCTTACAGCTACCAAAGATATGATAGAGAAACTTGGATACATTTTCATTAATTTAGTGTGTCCATCAAGGGGCCTCTAACCCAGTTCACATGTAGAGTTAGTTAGTAGCAGTTTTCTTCTGGGTCTTCATAAAATGAATTCAGTAAACCAAGTATGTTCCTTTTGAAAAGTTCATTGTTAATTTTTACATACTTTGAATTTATACTCCAGTCAAGAGTATACACCTAAATATATCATGATTTGAGTTCTATGTCTTTCAGACATTTAACTACAATTTCCTAGTGTGCAGTTGTTGATGTTTTTTTTTTGCAATTAATGATGTACCATACCCCAAATCCCATGTTTTGTTTGTACATTAATCAGAATTGAGTTGTAATATTGTTGTGTGCCTTCATCCAAGCAAATTTTACAAAAGCCTTTCCAGTAGTGGGTGGGGGGCGATGTCTTCCTGGATTATTGTACCTTTGCTATATGCCAAGCAGTATTTATTGTGGAAGTAGATGTAAGAGGGTGAGGGTTGGGATTAAATACATATATTTGAGTGCAAACCTATTTGCAAATTTTATTACCTTATAAGGTCTGTTGACCTCTTTAGAAGTTTTTAAATATGAGTCCTTTTGAACTTTCATGTAAATCTTAAATGGAATAAGAAGTGCTTCAACAATAAAGTAAACATCAGTCTGTGTAAGTTAATAATGTAATACACTGTCAAGTGATGATGGTGGGCAAAGGGCAGGCTCTGGGAACTTGATGTTGGCAGCTGTTAATGTCTGTCCCATCCTAAGTTTTTTTTTGTGTTTGAACTGTTGGGTAATGTTAATTGCATTCTCATTTGGAAAATGTATTAGTTTTTCTAATAGCATTCCATATCCAAGTTCAAAAGGTAATAATACTTCAATGAGAAAAATAACAGTTTTGTAAATTTCAGTGTAAATGCATTGTGCTTCGTATTTTGTAAATTTTGCCTCTATTCTCAGACCACTCTGAGCAAAATAAAAGGTGTAAGGTCTTGTTCTTACCGAAATAATGTTACTGTTACAGTTATAGTGGAGTTCCTTTTTGTAGACTGTTCATCTAACTGCTTGTTTAGAATAGCCCTGCTTAGGAGTTTGTGTACTGAAGAATCATGAAAGTGAATGCTCTTCCTAGATGCTTTTTGTTCAGGCTTCTCTTTCTAATTGATGAGATTTACCATGTTCTCAAATGATTACATTTCTTTACTAAGTACTGTGTTTGGAGTCTGGGTTAATAAGTAACTGTAAGAGTATGGCTATGTGGTTACTTATGGCATAAATGTCATGAACTTGAGTTTAATTACTGTAGGATACTTTGTGTTGCTTATTAGATTATTATAGCTTTGTGTTAATTTGGGTGAAAGCCCAAAGAAAACATTTCTTTTATATTAAGATGTTTCATCTTCTTAGGAGTGTTACGTTGGGTCTTTTGTGAAAATTCTTTTCATTGCTTGGTGAATGGTAACTGATTGTTAACAAGATTTTAAAATTATTTCTAAAACTCCTAGGTCATTTGTTACCTGCCTAGTATATTCCCAGCCTTGTTTTCCTATATATCTCAACTGCTGTGCTTTATCTTGATATGCTGGCTCTTATTTCTCCTCTGATTTCTCATATTTGTAGTATTTGAAAAATCTGTCTGCTCCACAGTGTCTTACTTGAAGTGACAAGAGAGGGTAGGAAGTGATCCCTTGGATGTCTGTGTAGTATGTTTTGCTCACTGTGGTTTAAGAATATAGTTTTGTTTATAAATAATTGATGTTTGTCTTGAAGAAATTGAATGCCGATGTGAGTCACCTTGCTCTCACCTTCATCTCAGTGTGAAATTCCTACCATTGTTGAATTTTTAGAGTGGATTGTTTTGAATAAGTATTATTTGTTTTAAATGAATATTCAGTAAGAGAAGAGTGCCATTCATGTTATCCAAATTAATGTTTTTGCTTTCTGTGGTTAACAAGTTCTAACTTTTGATAGTAGTTGAATTCTAAATAGCAGCTTATTTTGAAATGTCCCTATCTTTTGGGTGTCTCTTTTTGACCAAAGCCTATTTTCTTTCTTTTTCTTTTTTGTGATGGAGCTTCTTTCCACCATGTAGTCAGTTGCATAGAGCACCTAATTGTGTATTTTATAGAATAGTAAAATGCTTTAGTTGAAATGGGGTAAGTATGATGTTCAGCGAAAAACAGGAAAATATAAACTGTTTGGTAGCTAGAAACTTTTTGTGAACATCTGTAATAAACAATTGTTTTTTTATGTACAGTGTTCTAGTCAATATAAGGAGAAACTTCAGATAAGTTTAGATGCTTCTATTACCTACCTCATCCCCATTCCTCATTAAGGAGAAATTTTCAGATACAGAAGGTTAAATCTTACCTATTTAAAAGTGTTGCCTTTCTCAAATTATGTGAGGATCCTTTTTATTTAATTCAACACATTAATATGAAAACCTGTAAGAGCTGGGTGTGGTAGTGCACACCTGTGAACTCAGCACCTTAAGAGACAGTGCAGCCAGCCTGGTTTACATGTGGAGTTTCAGGCTAGCCAGGCCTCTAACTAAGACCCTGCTTCAGAAATAAAATCAAACAGGCAATATAAAGACTTAGGAGAATCCTATCAAATATTCAAATGCTTCACTTAAAGGATAAAATTTTCCATGAGTTTCAAAATACAAATAATACCAAGTTTGCATATCTAAGTCACACTCAATTTGAGTTGTTAGTAATGGTTTGATAGTACATTATCTCAGAATGTAGGTCTTTTGCTCTGTGTTGAAACATACTGCTTGCTTTAGCTTGCAGATTTTAGAGCTGTAGTTTCATTGTCTTAGTTCATTTAACAGCTGTTTACACAGGTTCCTTTTTATAACTGACAGCTAAAGCAAATAATTGTGTGCCTTTCACAGTACAGATTGGATCAAATGCTATTTTGAACATATGGGCATTGAATGTATTTGTCACTTCTAACCTTTTTGATATCTTTGTTTATGTAGACGTCTATTTAGACATTTGAGACTATAATATGGAATTGGATTATTGGAAATGGGTTGTATTGCCTTCAAATTTTGCTTCCGTTTGAGATTGTAAAATTTGTGTTTATGTAAAGTGTTTAGAACTAGAAATAAAAGTTTCTAGACTATTCCCTAAATTTTATGTCTGTATGGTGAAATTTTAAGATTTATTAATTAGACCCTATCTATAAAATATAATGTAGCAAAAGATGAGTTCATTAGTCCTGCACAACGATGTGTATTGTGACCTTACAAACAAGATTACCTGTATAAAAGTAGTAAAGTTTCCTTTAGGGTCATGGTAATATGTACATGTGGCTTTTTGAAAGATTGATTTTCTTTCCCCCCCCCAACCCCCACACTGTGACTTTCAATAATTTTTCTCTCAGTGATTCATCCTTCATCCTTTACAACACAACAAAAGTATTAGGAAAGATAGCATTCCTTTTTTTAGTAGGATTTAAGAATTTCCCTGCAATCTTTTTAGTAGCTTAAAATGTGCTTTGTTTTTTTCTAATGCCTTATTGTTTTTAAAATTCACTAGTGCTGAGAGTGTCATGTTCAGTAGGCTACATATAGACTTTAGCATGTGTGAAGTCATGGATTCATTCTCAGCATCAACTCTAGAAAACAAACAAAATCCTACCAGAATTGTAACCTGCAAAATAAAATGTTTGAAAACAGACATTACAGGTTCTTCTTCTGTTAAATAATTCCTCTATGTGAACCTCATCAACAGAACAGGAAAGGGAAAGTAGAGAAGGTGACACTGTAAATAGCTTCACTGTCAACAGTTCAGATGTCTGAAAAGCATTTAGATGAGAAAAACCCTTTCCTCTGTACTTTTAAGATTGAAGCTTTTATTAGGAAGTATGAATATGTGTTTGTATACTGATACTATTAAGATTCTCCCAAAGAAAATTGAACACAAAATTTACAGTTGTCACAAAATTACTTCTAGTTATAAAGCAAAGGATCTTTTAAAACTTTTATGACTGAATGCCATTAAACACTGTATGCTTTTGAAAAATATTAAACTACCCATTTAGTTTTTCTATTTTAAATATTTGATATTCAGTAATCATTTTTTTAAAATTAATGTTCTGTTTTGGATTTACATATATATTACATATATATATATATTCCTGAGACTATAGTATCAATTTTATTGATGACTTCCCCCTTCCATCTTAATGTGAGTTTTCAATTGAATTTATCATTGTAGATTCCCATTAATTTGTGTTTGGTTAGTTGATAGAGGTGAAATAGAATGAAGGTAATGTCTCAGATTTGTATTATGTCTAAAGATTTGTATGTGGATGTCACATTTAATGTCCATGCTGAGGTGTTATTTATGAATTTTGTAACATGGAACACCATTGATTTATAACAGATTGGCAGAAGTTCATGTATGCTGTCAAATACAGTTAATTTGTAAATTTCATTGCATTTTATATTCAGTTCAGCATTTGTTATATGAATTGATGTGTGGTTGAATGAAAAATAGCTACATTCAAATCCAAGCATTTTCCCATTTATTTTGTAGTGTGCATATTTTAGAAAATGATTTATGACTGTTTTCATCATCACAGAAACAGTAGCTGCTGTATTTTCATTTGTTACTGTAATTTTCTTTTAAAAAATTACATACATTGTACAAAAGAATGGTCTTCATATGGCAATCACTGAATTTCAAAGGTAGTAATATGTAAGAAGAATGAAATGAGAATTTCTCATTTTGAATTTGTGAATTAGGAGTATTTCTCCACTATGCAAGCAGCTACTGTTTGAGTTCCTTTTTATTTTGTGTTAGAATACCTAACAGTGAGTAGATGCACGGCTTGTGTATGTATAGCTAAGCCAACATTTTTCTGTGTATTCTGGGGAATAGCAAAATCTACATCACCAATTTTGACACATTACAGCTGAAGGAAGAGGAACACCTTCCAAGACAAAACAGTCTTCATGGGGAAAGTGACGCTTGTCCAGCAGTTTGCTTCTTGTGATTGAACTGAACCTGTAAGGATTCATGGATAAACTGAACAGGAATAGATCTGAATAAAGCAAATCTGCATAAATGGTAACCAGTAGCTCTACTTTTATTTTTTTATGTTGCTTAACTGTTTTATTTGAAGGAAACCTGTGTGATTTAAAAAGTTAATAGCTTTTGCAACTTTATTACTGGTTATATATATTTGGCCATTATAATGTGCAAGCAATTGGAAAAAAAATTCAAGTAAATGCTTGTTTTTATAGTAGTTTGTTCTTGTTAAAAATGTTCATATGATAATGTCTGTAAACAGCACCACTTTGATTACAATAGATGTAGTGTTGTAATAAACTGTTTAATGGGGCTGATGTGTAAAGCTGTTCAAGTTATTTGATGTTTACACCTCAGGGAAAGTCTTGTGTTCAGCAATATCTAAAGATAATGTTACTATGACAACATTTTTACTGTCCTTTAAAAAAGCATTGCAATAGGGTGTTTGGATATGCATCAATCTAATCTTGCGTTCAGTGAATTAAACATAACCAATTAAGTGTCTCTTGCCCTTGGTTTTGATATTAGAATAGGCGATTACATGGATATTTAATATTTCTATATTCTGCTTTTCTAGCTGTTTTTATCTAGTTAGCTTGTGATTTTGCTGAATGGTATGTAAACTTGTAAAAACTGAAAATTGGCAGATAGAGCAATCCAGTCAATGTGTTAGGGGGTCAAAAAATTTGAGGTTGTAACATTTTTGGTAAAGACTCATGTATTTGCTTAATTACACCCCAGATATTCTGAAACAATTAAGTGTGAACTGCTAGCATTAAGAGAGATTTTGATAATTCTGATTTAATACAGTAATTGACTGTTTCATGCTGATGGTGCCATAGGCAGTGTAAATACAGCCATACAGCAGATAAATGTGAGTAAAGAAAGCCCTAGGATTCTACTTGATAGAGAGTCGGAAGGGTCTGATGTTTATTAACATTGGGTTGTATTCTTCAGTGTGAGTAATGGGAGATGATAGCTTCAACCTTTATTCATGGTTCAAGGAATTCTATGTATATTTCTGTAACCTTGTTGATTTATGCTTGGTTAGAGTTAACCAGTTGATTATTTTTTTTTTAAAGCCAGCTTTAGTAAAAGACTGTATGAGAAGCACCTGGCTAGCATGTGTTCTGCAAAATTAGCAGAGGCAGACTGTCAACTTGATTACCTATTTTTATAGGAAGTTTAAAACCTGAATTACTAAAGAAATTTGAGATAAAATCAAATTTTAAGCTAATTTGTTTTAAATATATTTTAAAGATCTTACTAATTATGAGAGATCTGTGGATAGTATGCATTGGCTTTTAAAGTTTGTCTAAATTTAAGGGCAATGCTTAAGGTATTTATGTACCATAGATAGATAATGTGCAGCTCAAGATTTGCACTGCTGTTTTTTAGTTTCATCTTGTCTGCTTTTAAAGTACTCAACATTTAGTTTCAAAATACCCTTACCACTGCCAGTTCATTTAAAAACGTTTTGTGAGCAGAGTATTTTTGCAAGAGATCATTGGTGTTTACCAGAACTAACTGTTTGCTCTCAGAAATGATTTTTCTTAGGTGTTTAATCTTGTTAAAATGCAAGTTGCCTTTTAATTTGAGAGTTGTATCAAGATCTATTTTCTTGTTTTGTGTAAAGGTATTGTAAGTTTTTGTGATTTTTTTTTTTTAGCGTTTTTTAATAGTCTAATTATAATGCCCTAATGTGAAGACATTTGGACATACATATGTTTACAAGGGAAATTAGTTAGTAGTAAGGTAAAAAGGTAAGTAAAATGTCCATGAGATAAATCTTCTCTGAACACTTTTAAAATGGAATCACAAATACATATACTTGAAATGAAACTGGAGATTTTGTACTAATCTTAATCCTTCACTACCTTTTCTGTTTTTAATCAGTGGACCCCTTTCATTGCTCCCTTCATGTCACCCTTCTTGCTCGGCTTATCTCGTTAAGTGACTTTGGCGGCAGATAGTGTGAGTGTACTGGAGTTGTTTGCTGCTGCAGTCAATTATTTTAAGTGTTGTCAGGAAGAAACAAATAAAATAACTTTAGTTTGACTGACTTTGCAAAGTCTCCTACCTAATAACACATGAATGTATAGCAGTAAAAGTCAAAGTTACAAACCTTGTTTTATTTGTCAAAGCCCTTGTGTTGTGTAGGAGCCGGTGTTATTTAAAAACTTGTTTTTAATGTGTAAAAAACAATCCAAAGAGATAAATCTTTGCAAAGACACCAAATAAACAAACAAACAAACAAACAAATAAATAAACAAGCAGAGGAAAGAGAGAGTAGGGAGGATTGCGGGAGTCTTAGAAATTAGAATCCTGTAGTGTCGATGAAGGCAAGCTTGCGTTCCCCAGAATGCTAGCATTGACCAGTGCTGCGCAGTCACATTCCTTACCACTGGCAGGACAGGTAGAGAGGCGTGGTGAAGCACCCACAGGGTAGTATTTCTCCTGGAGCAGCACTTTGAATTCATTATACTGCTTTGAAGTAAAGGAAATAGGTTTGTAGAAACAATATTTCAGTGTCAATTTACAAGTGTTTATGTTTTGTCAGTTTTCAGCAAGATTTCAAGTAACTTGCCATAGCTATTGATCATGTATGTTACCCCGTTTAATGGCTCCTTTACCTAGAATATTCTTAAGCAGTTAACTACAATTTGGAATTCACAAATAATGTGTAGCTTAAGATATTATTTTCATTTGATTCTCCTATGGAGAATGTTGCTTTAGTAAAGTCAGTTCTAAAAATAAACATGGAGGTTTTAATGAGCATTATGTAACATTTTATGGTGAAGGGGAATCTTGAAAAGGGTAAGACTGTTGCCCTGTGTGTTGAAATGTGCCAATAACCTAAGTACATTCTGTTTCATACAATGAGATGCTACTGCAAGGCTCTTCTGTTGGCGTGCTCTTGACATTCTAGCTGTTACCCAGATGGTCATTGCATTATCTGTATCTTACAAGTCCCAGCGTTGGGCTTTAAGCTTCAGCTTAAGTTATTTTAAGAGGAAGTTTGTTCTGATTCTTTCCTGAGAATACAGTGTTGAGATTCTTGCTATTGCACAGATAATGAGTTTTCAATTTTATTCATGAAGTTCATTTGCATCCCATAGCCCTCTGTAAATGTTTCCCCCAGTTGTTTGTACTTACAAAATGCACGCTTATCCATTGTACATATTAGACATTTTTTGTGCTAAAATATATTAAGTAGGATTTTTGTAGCAAAGCATTCTATTTTTATGTTCTTATAGTGTATGTGTTAACATTAATCTTCAGTTTGAACACTGGTGTATTTATTTTTTAGCAACTTGACTCCTGGAAGCCTTAGACTAATTTTTAAATAAACATTCAACCAAAAATTATGAATTTATTGAGATGTGGCCTTATATATGGTATTTCTTGTGTTCATAATGTGATTTTTTTTAAATTTAGATTTTATTTAAATCAAGATTTAGAATTAGTTTCATTTTCAGTCAAAATAGAAAATGTATTAAGCGTCTAGGCTTCTGGGAGGAAGTTCTTATACTCTTCTTTCTTGGCATTAGAAAGAAGCAATATGAATTTATGAATATTCAAACTATTCAGGCCATTGTGTTATATTCAGATTGGTTTAGGTTGGTTTTAACCCAGTGTTTCTTTAAAGTTCCAGGTTGTTGGCATTCTTTGAGTATATGGCTACTCTGGTTTTATACGGGATGTATGAACTCGTGGTTACATATAGCCAGATTTCAGTGTTTTAAAGACTTCCTGTTCCATTAGTTATATTGTAATGGGAGGCTTTTAAAATATTAGGTAAAGTTTAATTGAAGTCACGCAAATCTTTAATGGTATCCGTGGGTAGGAAATACTATGAGGAGTTTCTCACCTTTAAAACTCCACCATGGGAGGAATTATAGTCACTTCATAATTGGACAGACTCTTCATCTTAGTAAAAACATTTCATTTCGAAGGTGTATTTTTTGCCACACTGTTACTGCGTAACACTTCTCAGCATTTCTGTATGCAAATTATTTTAAAATACAGAGATAAATTCATATTTGTTTATTTTTTTTAACCTTGGAAATTGTAGTACTCAGGTGGTATTTAATGGAAAATGATCCTTTGGGGTAAATCATAATGTATTTTGAGGACTGCCTCTATAATAACATTTATGACTTTAGCCTTAAAAAGGTCTATTATTTCTTCCTTTGCATCCCATGGTATATTAGCAAAGTAGTTTACAGCCCAGCACAGCCTTACAAAGTTGTTTTACAATTTTTAATGGAAAGCCCTTAACAACAACAAAAAATTGTATCATATTACAACACCCATGAATTATTGGATAATCACCCTTTGTAAATAAGCTGTCTAATATCAGAAGGCCAAAGAAAGTCTTGAGATTTTAGCTATTGACTGTGGTGTGGTGACTTCATAAGATTTCTGTGCAAAAGGTAAGGTGATATTCCATCAAGTAGGCATCCTTTTTTTGATGCCCATGAAAACTAGACTTCCATATTAGCTTCTTTCAAAAGGCTCATTCCCATTTTATTAAAATGTTTGTACTTGCAATTTTGTGTTTAATGTTTACTTTGTCTTTTCTTTCTTTAGCATTTAGGTGACTGTTCAGCAGTTTGCTATATGGTCATTGTTGGCCTTAAACTGCACTAGTAACAAGCATGGTATTTATCTTGTATTGAAAATAAAAACAAAGTTTTGATAATTCTTTGCAGTTTGTCCTTTTTGTTTGACTTAAAATTTATTTTGTTCAAATAATATCCATTGGAAAAATGCAATAATAACAGATTAGACTGTCACCTATATTTTGTCTAAGCCAACCTCCTTGAGAATGGTTATTTCTTCTGGCATATTTTTAAAGTTTTAGTTACATTTATTTTGTGTGCATGTGTATGCATGCCATGGTCCATGTGTGGAGGTCAGAAGCCAACTTGCAGGGATTACACCTTTACCTGCCGAGCCATCTAGCTAGAATTATGATTGCCTCATCCTAGGGAGATTATGAACCGCACCAGTCCTTTGGAAGTAAAATTGTGGGCTGCAGAGATGGCTCAGCAGTTAAGAACACTGGCTGCTCTTCCAGAGGTCCTGAGTTCAATTCCCAGCAATCACATGGTGGCTCACAACCATCTGTAGTGGGATCTGATGCCCTCTTCTGGAATAAAGTTGTACATGCAGATAGAGCACTCATGTCAAATAAGCAAATATTAAATAAATAAATAAATAAATAAATAAATAAATAAATAAATCTTTAGAACGAAAACCATTTTTGGATCACAGCAACATTTGACCAGCTAGCTTGGGAACATTATAAGATACAACTTTTAAATAGTAACAGATTTGTCCTTCAAATATCTGCTCCCTTGGCTGGAGGTCAAAGTTGCTTCAGTACTTACATAGCATTCAGGAAGCGTAGGTTTGATACCCAGCACTACATTAAAATCAGCCACACTGGGGGCACATCTGTAATCCTAGCACTCAGGATCAGAAGTTCAGATTTATCCTCATCTTATGATGAGATTCAGGCCATCCTGGGCTATATGAGAGTACACCTAAAAAAAGAAAGAAATACTGGTATACAAATGTTGGATTAGATCCCAGATTTCTTACCTGCAAACTTATGAGTATGTTGAAGGTAACAGCGCTAAGCAGTTTAGATTGAAATAATGCAGGTTACCATTGGCACTTATGTGGGTGGCATTGTTAGGTTTCTTGTTACTGTTTGCATTTTCAAAGTTACATTCATCTTTGGAATAATTTGAGGCTCTGTGTCTATGGCCTTTATATAACAGCAAAGAGCATGTAACTAAGTAAAACTACTGGGGACATCTTGAATAAAGAACACAAACTAAGTAGGAATCAGTCAACAGCCTGCATTGCTCCAAAATGTGCTTAGCTGAGGATGGCGTTAAATTTGGGATCCTTAGAAAAGCAGGCTCCCGGTTAGTAACCTATCTGTTTACCTTTCCTCCCTAAGGTAACAATAGAGGGGCTTTTAAGCTGTGGAAAGTACTGTGAGAGCAGAAAAGGTGATGAGGGCCACCCCAGTGGGCGCCGTGCCACTCCTGGTTTCCACCGGTGGAGACTCAAGGTTTCCTGTGTGAGAGCTCGGCACCCTACCATATAGAGCTCCAACCCAGGCAAACCTGTCCCCCTCTCCAACCCCTCCAAACAAAGGGTTTAACGTTCTTGTCTTCCTGCTTGTGTTTTCTAACCCTAATCACGAAATAGTTACTTTATTATCATTTATCTCTCATTAGCAAAGTTCTTAGCAGTTTGTATGCTCACATTGATTGTGATCAGGTATGTCAGATGAAAGATATACGTAACTTTAAAAAAAATCTATAGTGAGCCAGATGTGGTGTTGTGTGCCTGTAAATTGCTAGCATTTGGAAATACAGGTAGGAGAGTCTCTAGTCTGGGGCTAACCTCAGTTACCCGTTAACCCTCCTTGTGTGTCTGTCAGACCAGAGAACAACACAGAGGGTTAGTTCTTGCTTTCCACTGTGAGATAGTGTCTCCCTTGTTTCTGTCTTACTGCACACTCCTGGCTACCAGGCTTGTGATCAGATGGACGAGTCTCCTATGGGTAATTTGAATCTCCGGAGTAGGAGTGCTGATAGGAAAAACATGCACTACTGTATTCTGTTTTTTGGGTTCTAGGAATATTGTCATCATGCTTTTGTGGTGAATGCCTTTACTTGCTAAGCCCTCTTGTCTACCCAATTGAACCTTACATTAAATGAGATTCCCATCCTCAGCTCATAGGAAACCTGCTTTCTGGGGAGAGAAGGTCTTGTAAAAAAAAAAAAAGTCCTGTTGGCAAGAGAGTTCAGTGTAGTAGGAATTTAAAGAATGCTTGTTTGTCTGAAGCAGGTACTAAAACATGAAAGGTATGGGATTTATCAGAGCCTAAGTTTAAGTCATAAGAGTTGGTGAGATGGCTGAGCCGTTGAGATGGCTGAGCCGGTCAAGGCACCTGAGTTCCATCTCTAGGACCCAAGTGGTCTAAGGAGAGAACTGATTCCCGTGGGTTGTCCTCTGTATACAAGTACAGTGGCACACATACCCCCCCCCCCACACATGTAATTTTTTTTTTCTTTTTGAGACAGGGTTTCTCTGTGTAGTTTTGGTGCCTGTCCTGAATGTCCTCTGTAGACCAGGCTGGCCTCGAGCTCACAGAGATCTACCTGGCTCTGCCTCCCAAGTGCTGGGATTAAAGGCGTGCGCCACCACTACCCGGCCACACATGTAGTCTTAAAAATTACCTTAAGTTTCATAGGGAGTGACTAATGTGTATGAAATGTCACAATCCAGTTAGCATTTCAAAACATTTGTTGCAGATTAAATTGAGAAAAGATGAGGTAGGTCGGCTAATGAACTTTACAGATTTGCTTATCAGGAGATGGGATAAGAAGGGAAAGCACACAAGCTAGCATATAGGGTCAGTGGAGTATAGACAGGGTGGAAAGATGAAGAGCTTGTATAATGTTATGCCAGTGACTAAGATGAACACATTAGAAGACATTCAAAGACTGCACTTAGTATCTGCCACCCAAGAAATAGTAATCATGTAGCCATATGGTTCTGAAGTTGAGAACTGCAGTTAAGTCTTTAGTTATAGTTAAAATGGAGAAAAAACTAAATGGAAGAACTTGGACAGCCATCAAAGGAATGTGAGGAGGCTGGTTGATATAGTCCTACTTAGGAAGCATACTGAAGATACTCACTGAGATCAGTAATACAAAGAAGTACCTTCTTGGGTGGAAAAAGAAGTTCTCAAAGGAGACTAACTACATGGAAGGCTGTAGGTTTGTTCTTAGGTGACACGTTTGTGATACTCATATTTAGTGACTAGCCTACTTTGAGGTAGAAATTGAGAATATTGTATAGGTGTGGTGGCTTACACTTAGGAGAAGTAATATTAACCCTTAGCTTTACCAAGACTTGGTAAGTGTATCTAAGTTGAGGCTCCATTTTATTGCTGGCAGTTCACTTACATGCATCTGTTTCTCAGAAGGTAGATGGATAAAACTATGGATGAAGGCTGTGATCCTCACTTTACAGTTTGGTCGTTATCAGCCTAGCCACAAAATGCAGTTTTCCCATGGCCCCCTGTTTGAGGATGTGTTATTTAATGGGTTTTGTACATTTGGATTTTCAATTCTTAGTCATACTGCATAGTAGATTTTTACAAGGAAGCTCTGGGGAGTTCTGATTAGCAGAAAAGTGAGTGGAGGTTAGAAAATGCTCTTGGCATTCTAGTTTTCAGTTATTTGTCCATCCCTGTCAAGCCAAGCCACACTGCCGTAAGTGTTTTTAAGCCACATTGATACCCGGACTGTAACCAGGAATCCATTTTTAAATGTTCACTTGCACATCCCCCCTTCCCCAGGTACCTGTTTGACTCAGGCTTCCCTTAGAGCCAACATCAGTGCCTTTCTTTTAGTTGCTTCATCCTAAAACGTGGAGACCACCTTGATTTATCACATTTCACATCCAATACATTAGGACATCTACCATCAGTGAATACCCAAGACCACACTTTATATCCTCGCCGCATTCTGCCCTTGCTACCACACGGAGTCTCTATAGTACAGATGGCAGTATCCTCAAAATCCTGCAGTGGCTCCCTATTTCTGTGGTAACCTGGGGCTCATCCAGATTGCCTTTGAACTCAGAATCCTGCTTCTCCCAACTGCAAGAATTACAGACCTAAGCCACTCTGCCCAATCCCATTATTAGACTGCCTGTAATGTCCATGTGATACTTAAATTTATATCATAATTTTAACTAGTTTCTATCATTGGCCGTTTGGGTTATTTCTATTTTGTTAGTATTAAGGGTCACTGTAGTAAGTATCTTTATTACTTTACTTCTAAAAGTAATTTCTTCAAGTACTAGATTAGAACAGTTGAGAGTTTTGAACACATCAAATTGCCCCTCCTTTATCGTTACAGTTATATGTAAAACTACATATTTCTTCCCATCCTTTTGGATCTTGAGTGCTTTTAAATTTCAGTTTGAGAGATAAGAACTGAGAAGTTATTTTTTTTTTTTTACATACTCTTGGTTTTTATAGTGATTTATTTGTTTTGTAACATTAGAGATCCAATCTATGGCTTTTCAATAGTAAGCAAGCACTACCAACTGAGCTATAACCTATGTATCTGTCACTAATATGTTAGTAGTGTACTGCCATCTACTGATAGGTTTGTGTAGATTTTGTAAATCGTATAAAAGGTAAGTCCATAATTTTCATTTGAGAAAACATTTCAGTAAAGAGATTCAGGATCTGTTGGGCATGGTAGTGCCCACCTTTAAATCTTAGCCCTTGAATCTGTGAGTTCAAGGATGGTGTGGTCTACATATTGAGTCCCTGGACATCCAGGGCTGCACAGTGAGACCTTATCTCAAGGCAAGAAAAATGGGACCCAGAGCCCGTGATAGTTCGTATTGATTGTTAACTTGGTAGGATACAGAAGCACCTGTAAGGCAAGCTTCTGGGCATGCCTATGAGGGTTGTCTAGATGGGTACCTTAACTGGGTGGCACCATTTCATGAGCTGGGATTAAACGGAAAATGTGACCTGATGACGGACTGGCACTCTACTCTTCCTGACTGGGGATGCACTTTGACCAGAGGCTTAAATTTCTCCTTCCATGCTCCCCCCACCATCTTGTGATTCCCCTTAAACTTAGCCAG